CTTTGTAACCTTCTGAACACAGGGCAACTCCAAAATGCCACCACTTCATACTCGTTACACTCACTTCACACCCAGCATTTCCAGCCTGACTTTCATTTTTTGTACTTAGCAGCTGTCAACATTCATGTTATTCTTTCCAAATAAAAGCCCACTGGACCCCTCTCCCCCCTGCTTTACTGTCACCATGCAAGAGGTGTTCCCTGTAAGTTTTCTTTTCCTGTTTTCTCTATCCATACAATAAGAACAAGTGAATTTTACATTATCCTGCATGGTTTTTTTTCTTCCAGTGTGGGCACAGACCAGTGTCACCCCCTGAGTGTAATTTAGCTGATTTGTCCTGCTAGCTACTGACAAAAAAGATCAGTCTTTAAATGAATATATACTAAATCCAGGTGGGGAAAAAATAACAAAACCCCAAACAAACAAACAAGAAACATGCCACCCGCTGTCTTACCTTCTGACCCCAATGTGAGAAAAAGTCTTACAAGACACAAAACACAAACTATCCACCAGCCCTGTGAGCCTTCCTCAATTCAAAAAGAAAATCTAATAGCACATTTTAAAATAGCTACATTTTCAGGCTAATCAAAATTAATCATTTATTGATAACTGCACATAAAATACTATGAAAAAAACTACTAAAATTTAAAGCAAGTAAATTAATCTTATAGCAAAGTGATATTTTTGTTTATCTGAAAGAAGTTTGATAAACATTTCTTTGTAAAGATATAATTCTGTTTTAGTCTCAAAAGATGTTAAAGTTGCTTTGATTTTTTTTTTAATTCTATACTTTTTAATTATGTCTGTTTTGGGAAGGGAAAAAAAAAAAGGTCAGGAGTTCATGATTAGCATCTCCTGGATGACTAGAAAATACACTCAGTTAAGAAACCACCATGCTCATTTTCACAGCTTCTTAGCCCTCCATGCTGTCAGTAGAACAATTTCCTTTTCTACTAAGCAAGTAATTTCCAGTAACTCACAGCAGCTGAAATATGTTTAAGTATTGAAAAAACCAACCACCTTTTTCTGTCTGACTATTTAAGTTTTATGTCAGAGTTTGGGCTGCCTTTAAATAGAAACACAGTTAGCACTGTAAGCCAATTCACAGTCCTGACATTTGAGGCATTTCTTTAACTCTGTCTTAAGGGGTAGTACTGTTATTTTTCCTGGAGGAACAAGAAAATTCTGGCAGACTTCTTCTTTAACAGCTTCTCAGAAGCTCAGATAATGTCATTCACCAGAACAGGGTTCTGAGAAGAGGCTCACGCTCCCCCCGTGATGTGCAGCCTGTTCCCTGAACACCCAACCCCACAGCTTATCATCTGCACTCAGTTTTCATTAACACCTGAACTAACGGAGCTTTTTCTATCAATTTCTGGTGTCAAGTTCCATGAAAGTGAGTAAACAAACTATTCAGCCAAATCTCAAAATGGCAAGAACATTTTCTAGGTAGGGCTTCACAGGGCCTGGGGGGACGGGGATGGGGGGAGTGCAAAAATACCCGCCAAGAATCTCATCATTCCCATCTAACAGCTCACACATGATGTGCTTCCTTCTGCCTGACTGTCCTCTTCCATAAGCACCCCCAAACATGGCAACCTAAGTGCTGAGCCCACTGGCTTTGGAGGCCTGACTTTCCTTGGCACGTGGGTATGGGGCAGACAGTGTGTGTCTCAACACTCGCTAGAAAGCACAATAATTCAGCAGAAAAAGGTTTTGATATTCTGGTATTCACAGTAAGCCAGGACTGGCCTTTCTTGTGGTCACACTGCAGCTGTTCTCTGGGCACACTATGGAGCCACATGTCTACTGCCTTCCTCCAACATGCCCCAACTCTGGCTGTCCCCAGGTCCCTTCTGACACGCCCCTGGAAACAGGAATATGATGAGGTGCAGCCAGCTCAGAGCTTCACTGGTACTACTGGGCAGGAGGCACCCAACAGCACCCACAGGATTTTCACTGAAGTTAAGGAAACTCAGCTCACTCAGACTTCTCACAGTCTCCACCAGACACGACTGAGTTGATCGAAAGGTTCAGAAATCACCAAGGGGAGCGCGGGGCCAAGCCCTGCACTGTGTGAGCCACCATTTCCATGGCTACTGAGGCTCAAATAAAACAAAATAAGGAGGCATACAGCAAAGCAACTCCTCCTCTGGGCAATGCTCACACAAGCTACCTTCTCTCTCTTTGAGTGGAAAAAGGCACAGGAGCTGGGGTGAAGATACTGCTCTGGCTCAAACAGGCACAATGCCAGGACCTAAAGTCAGGGCTGAACTGCGCTCAAAGTTTCTTCATTTATCAGCTAAAACAGCTGGCAGAGAACTGTAATTTGGCTCCTGTTTCTTCCCAGCTCTATATCACACAAACTGAAAGAGCAGAGGGTTTTTGGTACTATTACAAGTTTTATGCTTTGTTGACATTTTGGCTGGAGCAAGGGAAAAAACATTTGAAGACTCTGTGAGTGAGGCACACGCAGATCTGGAGGAGCATCAAACACCACGAACGCACAGGGCACGATCAGTACTCAGAGTAAAGGAAATAGGACGTATTTTGCTCATTTTAGGCCAAAATCAGTACTGACGATGTTGTGGAAAGGTCCTGGAGAACCAGAGCAGCATCAGTGTTGTGTGACAGATGATTCCCTAAGTGACACTGGCATCACTGCAGAGTCCTTCACCTGTACCAAGTCAGGGTTTCTTTCAGGGCCAGAGTTTCAAGGACAGACAACACATAAAAGCTGGCAGATACCCAGATTATCACCCCAAAATCATCAGACAAGACTGTTACAAAGAATTTTTACATACAGCCAAACTGCTTAAGTCCAAGGGTTGAATTGTCTTGATAAGGACTATGAAATTAGTTTTTCAGAAAAGACGGAAAACTTTATACAAGCATGTTTTACTTGCAGATGCACGTTACATGCATGCACTGTTAATGCTCTGTGTGTAGATTGTTGAGCATTTTGTGCTGCAATTCACGTGTTTGAACAAGTTTCTCTGCAGTGCATTGTGTTCTGAATAATAGTATCTCCAGAAGCTATCGGTCTCAGAGAAGAAAAAGGTCGTTTAGGCAAATGTGTGGAATTACCACAATTAAAAGCTTCGGTTGAGCACTGAGCAACAGCACAAGACATTGTTGCAAAAATAAATAAATCCTTTTCGATACAAAGACTACATAATAACCATTCACACTTCTATGAAGCAGAACACATTTGGGCAGGTATTGTTAGAAATTAGTGATCAGTCCCGCAGGGATTGCCCCTTCTGAATGCAGTGGTTATGGTCACATTCCACAGGCACAACAGAATCACGTGTGTATTTTGTGCAAATATATTTCCCACATATGAATATTTCCCATATATGAATTCTGCTACTACTCAGTGTAAGGTGGAGCAGCCAGTGCATTAGCAAGCCATTTAGAGATAAATAAAATTACTTCCTGTTTTTAATGGGCATAACTTTTTTTTCCTCCAGCAGATATTTTATAGATTAAGGTTCTCTGTCTAATACCAAAACCAGAAAATTTTTCAAGTCCTCAGAGACAAATTCTGCTCTTGGCCAATTCTGGAATCCGTGCTGTGGATTCGCTGCTGCAACTGAGCTCTGCATTTTTCCTAACGTTACTCACGGACATGTGATCCTGCAGACATTCAGTTCCAGATGTAGCAATGGGAGGGAACACAACCTCTGAGCATGAAACCACCGCCTGTGTTACTTTCCACTCGTAAAACACGCTTCTAAAGTGGTCACCTCCAGCATTCAGCCAAAATTACAGCACAAGTTTCAGGCTCCAAGTCACACTGGACCAGTTCATTCCAGAACAGAAGCCTGGATGCAGCCAAGCTGTCACCATGAGCACACTCTAACTCAAAGCATACACACAGCAAGGGATAAAGCCCTCTGAAAACACAAGGACAATCCATCAGTCAAACAGAGGAGCTGATCATCCCAAGGCAGCAGGGTTTGTAACATGACACATGTAAACACACCTTTAGTCACCTGAATGGTGGAACTGTTTGGGAAAAGGAGACCCCACAGTGCACAAACTGCACCCCATGCCCTTGGTATATCCTCATGCCCTATGACCTCACCCAGAGAAGGAAGGGGAAAAACCAGAACCCTCAGGTTCACAGAAACACCCTCTCACAACAGTTGCCAGAGTAGCCCAAGTGTGAGGAAGCATTTCCTCTTGAGCATATCTACACGTACATGATTCACTTACTCCAACCTCTCCTCAGAAAGTATTCTAATTTAGAGGAAGGAGCTGAAACGCTGGAAGGGGAACCAAGAAGGTGCCTGTTCCAGGGGCTGCTGGGTGAGGCAGGAGACCACAGCTCTCCCCCGACACGCCGGCCGTGCCGCAGGGAGGAAGCCGAGCTGGCAGCACCGACCTCGTGATGTCCAGGGCGGGCAGGGTGACCTTGTGATGCCAAATTCTCCAGATCCCAGCCAGCCCAGGACATGCCAGGAGGAAAGGCAGTAAGGGTGACCCTTCACTTGTTAGCTCATTTTGTAAGGAGCTTCAACTCCTTCTAAAAAAGCAGCAGAAAAATTTGTGCAAATATATTTCCCACACATGAATATTTCCCATATATGAATTCTGCTACTACTCAGTGTAAGGTGGAGCAGCCAGTGCATTAGCAAGTCATTTAGAGATAAATAAAATTTAGCAGAGGGTTTTCCACTCCCTGTTGCCCGTTCCAAGGGCGATGGGAGGAAGCTGAGGAGAAGCGAGGTGTAGGCAGGGTGAATTCCCACCAGGGCAGAGGAAAACCTTCCAGGGCACAGAGTCAGGTAGGCACAAGCACCCCAACAGTTTAGAAATTATTTGGTCATTCTCTGCATTCACGTGCACCTACAATGCTGGGGATACCAATCCAAGTGAATTCCTTTGGATCTGATGATAATATGAGTAAACAAGCACTGGGGGAACTGCCAGCCCTCTGATTTACAGCTCCTTAGCCACTGTACAGACCCAGCTTGCAGCACTGCCTTACCCAGAGCTAGCACCTAATTTTCAAGGACATGCTGGATGTTTTAGCAGCAGCACATTCCTACCTGGAGAAGCACTTGGGAGACCTACAGAGTGGTGGCAAGGAGGGCTGGGAGAGTGGCCCCTCCAGCCAACTATCTCCAAGCTCCAGAGGTGCTTACTGTGGTTTGTATGCCTCTGCTTCCAAGATGAAAGTTGACTTAAAGCACTGGAAGGTACATAAAAGCTCAGATGACAGGAAATGCAAAACAGAATTTGGCAAAATGAAGTGCTTTAGAAAACAGCAATATATTTCAAAATACAAGCCAAAGTCATCAGAGCTATAGAGAAAACTGCACATAAATCAAAGTGAAGTATTTATTAAAACTTGCTACACTCAAGCTAATGAATGCAACCAAAAAGCCAAAACCAAACTCTTCCAGAGATATTATGGAAGAGCTGGGTTTTTTTTTATAAAATCCAAAACTTAAAAGGACATTAAAGGGCAGAAATGAGCTTAATAAAAACACAATAGAATTTTAGAAGTTTAACATTTTGAATAGTCTTAAAAAATTATGGGACAAAAGCTTTTTAAATTCATCAGATAACTGGAAAAGATGAAAAGCTGGAGCTATTACAAAATGAAGTCCAGCTAAAGTTCTTTTTGAAGATAGATTCTGAGGTGGTGAAATTCCAGGAGTTTTACAAAAATTGGCAAAAAACTTGCACAATGCCAGAAATGAACAAAAATCAAAACACACTATTTCTTTAATAGCAGGTTTTGGTCAGACTGGCTGGATGCATTGACAGCAGTGCTGAGGAACAGCTTTGGAAAGCCTTGTGCAGAGCTGTTAGGATCAGGAATTTGCTGGCTGCATTGCTCCCAAGGACTGACACAGCTTGGCAGGAGATCTGCTTCCCTGGGCTCAGCTGGGCTGTACACAAAGCTACCTGCTGCTGAGGGAAAAGACATTTTGTGGGGAAAACCTCTGACTGGAAAAATCAACGTCAAGACAACTTTTTATGTTCCTCCTTCACCTCACTCCAGCCTCCACATTAAAAAGTCCCTGGTTACATGTTATTAAATGTTTCTGAGTGTCTTTGCACTTTGTTTCAAGAAATCAGCCTCCGGTTCACAAAGCAATTATGCCTTTCTAAGAGAGCATGTACTATTTTCACTGTGCAAGAACAATAGCTCTGCAGAGGAACTGGCTCCTGAAGCATCTTTGCATCAGGCTACCCATTCCAACTCTGGGTTTATTGCAATTCCCTGGATGAATCCTGCTGCCAAAAATGATGTGAAAGGAAACAAATCTCAGGATACCATTTAAAGTCACTGCCACGGGGAATAGAAAGAGTCTGGGCTGATGGGGGATGCTTGCCTAGACAGATTTTGCAAAGTACTACTTTGCAGTCAGCCTGAGGCCCTTCCTATCTCAGGAACCTCCAAACTATTCTCCCTATACAGGAGCAGCACGTATCACACTAAGACCCCAAGAAAGCACATTTCCAGGATGACCAAAAATGGCTTTCTCCATAAGTAAAGAACATTTAGAGTCATTTATTCCTCTATCTCCCCACATGAAAAACTGCACTGGTTCTCAAAAATAACCAAAGCAAAGCCCTAAAGGAAGAATGTGCCCAAAGATACCCCACACTGTTGGTAAGACTCGAAACTGGAAGGGGTTCTGTCAAGCTTGAACAATCACCACACAGCTGTACCTCTACAACAGGTGCTTTAACAAGAGCAAAGCCGTTTGCAAACAGCAGTGGAATGCCCCTGGGGGTGAGAGGGCTCTTTAGAGCTCCCTAGATTAAAATAAAAAAGAGACACTGAAGCTTTTATTGAGCTGCAGTGTAAAAAGAACTCCTGATTAATAATCCCTCTATCCTCCAGCGAGGCAGGAAGGATGTCTAGAGAGAGAAGGGAACAAGTATTTGAACTTTATACAGAAGATGGAAAAAAAACCCCCACTGAGTTTCCCTCCTACAAAATGTACAAGTCCTTAATTCAGTACTACAAGACCATCCCTCTCCCTCAGGTTAAGGGTGCTCTGAGCCCAGCCAGGACCCCAACAGGCACAGTGTCCTGCAGAACCTCTGCTGCAGTCCCTGCAGCTGTATTTACCCTTGGAAATGCTGCCCACACACCTCGACAACAAAGCCTGAAACCTCCCAGGAATTTACTGAGCTTTGGGCTCAACCTACCGAGCCCATTCTGAACAGCTTTATGGATTCTTACAACTGCAATGCTCTCAGTCTAAAATTCTAGAAAACTGCTTACCTGAAATTTTATATTCCTAATAACTGTAAGAGCCCAAGCCTGGGCTGAGCTCTCCTGTCACCAGCAGCCTCCAGTGCCAGATGCTACAATATGGCCAAGAGCTCCTATTTATAGTAAAAGTTACCCTCGGGGAAAATCCACTCACGTGATTATTATTTGCAGTAGACAGCAGGTACTCCACACCTTGGAATTTAAGGGCTTGTCTCTTCCCTAGAATACTTGCAGGTGTTTCTGTGTTTCTTGTAAACAGATTGTACCACTAAAATTTTGAATATTCTTGCTCACCGTGTGAATGTCAAGCTGGGCTGAGAGATTTCAGCCTAAGGGCCAAGCCTGCCAATTACCCTGGATTAAACTGAAGAGCTAAAAGACTAATAAGTAGTGGATCTATTGTGATTTTCTAAGGTTTCTTCTGTAAAATAAAGTGCATATATATAGAGATATTAAAAACATATATATAAATGGCAAACTGGCACCTCAGCAAATATTTTACAGTTGCTAACTTACTGGTCACATTACTAAACCTGTCAACTTCTCCAGCACCCAGTTCTGAAGGGTTTTACACCGTCTGGGTAGACCCAGGCTCACAAAATTTCACACACCCACAGTAGAAAGAGATTCTGGGCAGGAAACAAAAAAAAAAAAAAAAAGGAAGAAGAAAAAAACCTCCACCACAAACAAAACAACAACTAAACAAAATACGTTTCCACTGAAAAGTATGGTTTCATTTTTGTAACAGTGGAAGGTGAGATAAGTAGAATTAGTAAATTTTCACAGTGAGCCTGATGGAAATGCAAAATATATTCATAGTAAAAAAAACCCGAGCATCTAAATCCTCCTGAAATGTTCAGCTATACTGGTGTCACTGCCACAGTAGTGGGGCTTCTCTCTCCAAGCACATATTATTCACAAAATACAGTAACAGAATGTATGCATTTTTATGGCTGCTCTACACAGTCTCCTCAAGAGGAGGACAAAGCTTTCCAAGTGAAGACAGTCAAAACTAAGAGTGCTCAGAATATTTGGAAAACATTCGGTTATTTAGAATATAAACAGATAATAATGTATCAATCCATAAAAATCACCTTGTCCCAATGGAATTGGTGAGGCTGTTGCATTCAGGTTCACTGGAACCAGGAACAGTCTGAACTCCAGAGTGCTTGTTCCCAGTGTCTAAAGACTAAGCTGTCATAAATAACAGTCTTTATTTTGTGCATTATCCAAAAGTTTCACCAGGAATTGATAATCCTCACTATGTACGATCTTAACTACAGACTTATCCCCATCTGGAAAACAAAAGCAGCTGTTAGGCAACGTGCCTAGAGGGCATCTGTATTAGTCTTTAAAAACTACTACTTGGCTCTCCTGAGTCAGAGCTGGGTCTCCCACCCTCCCCAGAGCCTCCCCCTGCAGTTTATACCTGTGGGTCCACCAAAAAATCCCAACTGCAAATTCACCAGTTACCAGGGACAGTTGACATCACAAAGTGAAACAGCCCTGTGTACAGGGAGGAAGGAAGAGCAGGTGGAGGGACATCCTTTTTAAATTTCAGGCTCGGTTTTGCCACAGAAAGATGCAGGTAACGAGGGGAGCACAGACTTTGCCAAACACTCCTTTCAACACAGGTGTGATGCCCACATTTCTGCCCCAGCTCTGCACTGCAGCTGTTGCTTTAACCACCAGTCTCTAGACAAACCCATCACTAAGGTGAGGGAAAAGGGAAGACAATTACACAGAGCAATCCTAGTGCCCCTTCCCTGCCAAGGGCTCTGGTCCAGTATTAAGCTGATTTGGAAAATAAGATGACACCAACGCCATTAAAATGCCTTGTTTCTTAGAAAAGATCATTAAAAAAAGGATCCACTTTCACAGTGAGTAGCAGAGGGGTGTGCAAGCACCTGTGATCTGTGTCCTTAAAAGTTGTAGTGTCCAGGAGCATGTCCTGACTCCATGGGGGACTCAAAGTCCATCAACATTCTTTGAAAATCCTGATGCTTCAATAACTGCAGATACACTATTATCCACCTAAACACTGCAGCTAAAAGGGGTGTCTCACCACAGAAAACGAAAGCCATCGGTCAGAGCTCTCCCTTCACAGGGCAACCCAAGGGCCGATCATTTGTAGGTACAAATTTCAAGGCGGCGGGTGGGAGGGGAGCTTCACCGCCCTGCCAGCAGTGCTCCAAGACGCGCATAACTCTTACTGATGAAGCAGATGGCATTTGCATCCAGGTGGCAAACTGCGCTTTGAAACGACTGCGCCGGCTCTCTCTTCTCCGCGCCGGCCGGGACGCGGACACGGCATCGCTTTCGAGCGTGGTCGTTATCCACCCGTGGAACGGCACTTATGTCACAGCCACAAAAACTACCTGTTTCCCAGCAAACCAGCCCGGGGAGGCCCCGGGCGAGCTCAGGCCCCGCGCAGAGCCCGAGCTCGGCCTCCCTCCGCCCCGACCCCGGCCCGGGCCGGGTGAGCCCGCGGGGGTCCCGGCCCCGCTCCCCCGCCGGCACCGCCCGGCCCGGCGCTGCTGCCAGAGCGACACAAATCCCAACAGAACCCCCGCTCTTCTCTGGGCCAAAACTTGGCGTTTTCTCCCCGTTCCTGCGGCTGCTCCCCCGGGACCTGCCCGTCCGTGCCCCCCTCCCCGGAGGGCACGGCGGGGTCGGGGCCCCGCACACGGCCCGGGGAAGGGGGGTCACCGCGGGCCGGGGGCCCGGCGGGCGCTGGAGCGGCCCCGGCAGGGCAGGGAGGGAGGGAGGGAGCGAGGGGAGGCGGCCGGGAGGCTCCGCGGCGGCCCCGACGTGGCGGTCCCGGGGGGTCCGGAGGAGCGGGGGCACCGCGTCCGAGCGGCCCCGGGCAGGGCAGGGCAGGGCCGGGCAGGGCAGGGCCGGGCAGGGCCGGGCAGGGCGTCCGACCCCGCGCCCCCCCGGCGGAGCAGCGAGCGGGGAACTCGGCGCACAAGTTCGGGGCAGGGCAGGAGCGCGGCCCCGTCCCGCTCACCTGAACACACAGTCGTCGCGGGCGTCCCTGGCCGGGGAGATGAGCCCGTGCTTCTTGTTGAAGAGCTTCTGGAAGAGGGTGGGCGGCATCTTGGGGCGCCGCCGCTGCCCCCGCCGCCGAGCGCCGGGCTCCGCGCAGCGCCGTCCCCTCGCCGCGGCTCTAGTTCCGCCCGCCCCGCTCCATTCGGTGTCACAGTCATATGACAGAAATTAGTCACCCGCCGCTGCCAGGAGGGGCGGGGGCAGCGAGGGGCGGGCGCAGGCGGCGGGGCCGGGCGGGCCCGGCGGGGCGGCCCCACGTGCGGAGGGAGCCCCGCGGGAACCGGGGCTGGGCCGGGGGGCCCTCCGGGGGTCCCTCCGGGGGTCCCTCGTCCCCGCTGCTCTCGGCGGGTCCCGCGGGCAGGGCCGGGGGATCCCCGCGGCGGCGATAACGCGCCCTGCCGTGTTTTCCTTCTCCGGACGGAAGTTCGGGAGGGAGCCCCGGGAAGGCGGGGGAGGTCACGGGCGAGGCATCGCACCCTGCAGGGCTGCACCGAGAGGGGCGATGTCCCTTCCCCCAGACCTACAAATCCCCTCTCCCGCCCCCTCCCCTCCCAGGCACACGGCGCTTCTCCCACAATGGCACAGCTCAGATGCGCTCGATTCACAACCTGCAGGGAAGGTGGAACGTGTGTGTTTGGTGGCAGGGGAAGCCATCATCGCATCGCAGGTAAAATACCCAGCCACAAAGCGGCGTTTAAGCACATAAAGCCCAGCAAGTCAATCCAAAACAAATTATAAGGGGGGAGGGGGGAAGT